ATTGAAATGTGACTTGGTATTCATGTGTGCAATCATGGAATTTACACTCAGGGACATTAATTTTTTTTGCAACTTCCTGCAAATGAGCACCAAAACCTGAAAATTAGAACAAAAATTGGGTGTTATAACTTTGGCAAATCAACCCTGTAATGGGAACAGTTTTAATACCCTCTTTTAACCCCGTTATCCTTAAATTCTCCTGTTAATGAGCACAACCAAATGAAACTGGAAGCCATTCAAACACTGCTATATATACTTAAAGCAAAAGATCAGTATCCACCAAATGTAAGTAAACAAGATATTGACAGAATTTTATCAAGAGGACGATCTGAAACATGTCGTCTTTATGCCGAAATTCAGATTAAAGAGGGTGCCAGAATAATGCTTACTACACATTTCAATATACAAGATCGACTTTGATGCCAACATTAATAATGTACTAACTGTTGTATATGTAAAATTCGATGACGAATTCGCCTTGTACCAATTCAGCCTGTTCTTGCAAAAATTAAAGTTAGATCAGGTAAAGCATCTTCACCTGAAATTCAGAGAATACAATTTCCAATAGCACTATCTTGGGCTTGTACTGTCCATAAAGTGCAGAGACTTACTCTTGAAAATGTTGTCAGTTTGGACTTATACAAGCAAAGATGTTTCAACTATGGACAAATTTATGTAGCGTTAAGCTGTGCAGCATCCTTACAAGGTTTACACATAATCGGGGAAATACAAAGTAAACATACCTAGGCAAATCCCAAAGTACATGAAGCAAAAGATTGCTGCAATAATTCAGTTCTAACAATATCACTGTTAAACATCAGATCTCTTAGAAAGCACAGTAAAGATATCAGGTCACATTCTCAGTTGTTCACTTCAAATGTACTGGCCACTGAGACACAGCTTTTACCTGATGACTCTGCCAGAAATTACAAACACTTTAGAACCTTTTAGAATTAATTCATCATTAAGAGCATGCAGACAAATACTCCAGCATGTCTGTATAAAAAGTAGTTTGGAAATACAAGATTATGAATACATTCATTCACTTAATGCCCTTAAGTTTAATCTGGTTGACACTAAACGACAAGAGTCGCGTTCTTTCCTTTTATTATATAGAAAAAACGCCTCCAATATCTCGCATCATTTGGAAGTATTAGAATATATCCTTAATAGTTCCAGAATTGACATGATCCTTGAAAGGCGAAAGAACACAGTCCCACACACAAAAGCATTAGTCCGAAGTGGAATTTTGTGTGGAAACACAATTTAGATAACGATTAATACACATCGTCAAGACGTCAACAGAGAACACGGACAAGTTAACTTTGTATAGAAAATTCAGAATTTGCTTCTGAACCTCAAAACGTAATCACCAATTTCCCTGCCCACTTGTCAATTTCTAAAATAATATAGTTATTAAACCCTTGTATTTCAAATGCGCACTGTTAAAGGATGTAATTGTGGAATAAAAATGTGAATTGATTTGGCTTACATTAAACTATTACTGGTAAGTATTGTATATTCACTATATTGTATAATTACCTCTACCCAAACTCATTACTAATTCATGAGCTAACTGCTAAGCATAAAAAAATTGCGTTAATCTAATCGCCACCGCCTGTGCATGATTGCATGTCTTTATTCCGCAGCATTAAATTAAACAGCAAAATGTTAACGCATTTTAGGGGATGAATTTCTCCCTAATACTGGTTTGTCTGAGAAGTTATATCATACTCTTGAGTCTCGCCTCTCGCTTAATGTAGTGATTCAAAAAGCTGCTCAAAATAATGAAAACATGTTTAAATGCTTTTCGGTGTTACACCTAACACCTTATTTGAGGCTTGTGTTTGTGAATGTTTCAACGCAGTAGGCCTCTAGCGCATATTGCACTTCGCCAATCACCTGTGCGCTGTATTCACTCGCAGTCTTGCACATTCACAAATAATACATTTCATTGATTGATTTCCATTTCAAAAATAAATTGTAATAGACTATTCTACAGCAGAGAGCCAATTATGTTACCGCATATATATAGTATGGCAAATGGCCAGAGGCTGATGGCCAAACCAGTTAACCAAATGACAAGTACTAGATGCCGCTTGTAAACAATTAAAGTTGAGATGATAAGCACTTGGCGCATTTTTGGATGCCTTATTAGCTGCTACGTTGCTCGCTACAGCGTGCAAGACCTCCCAGCTTTAAACATTTAACTTAGTTTGAACATTTATAATTCCAATCTGATAATAATTTTAACCTTTTACTTTACTTTTATTAAAATTAATGCAAAGGCCAAACTCCAAAGCCCAGTCGAATGTAATGTAATTTGACTGGGCATTGCTTTCATTTATTGAAATCAGGGTAGCGAGCGAAGTTCTAACCCGATCTGATGCTATCTTGCTAATTGCTATCATAAACTGTAGCTATGTCCAACAACCAACCATCAAAAAGAAAAAAGTCTGGAGCTGAATTCAGAAAAGCAAAGAAAGCTAGGCAGCATGAGAATAAGCAACTTGGCGCCTTTATGCTAAAGTACTTCCAATCCGAAGATGAAAAGCGTGACAGTAAAGAAAAACCTGTCCAGGAAAAAAAGGGTGGATGTAATGAGGGTGAAACGCCTGGAACCTCAGAAAGCTGTCAAAGCTTGATCTTTCAAGTCAAACAAGGATCCGGAGTGGAATTACCAGAATCTGAAATTACAAATTTGGATGTGATTAATCAACATGAAGTAGCTGAGCAAGGCAAGGAAACTCAATAAATCGTAGTTAATAAAGAACTCAGCAAGATACATGATGTCGAGGAGACATTGCAAGAACAAGATATTGTCGAGGAACCAAGCCACTGTCAAGTTCTGATACACAAGGAATTTCTGTCGAATCCAAATATCGTTGTTGACAAAATCAGTGGAACATTTGATCCTGTATCATTCGTTGGCTTAAACTTAAGCACAGAAGAGAAAGAGAAATTAAAAAAAATGGAGCCTTGCCAGCCAAATCAGCAGATATTGAAGTCGAGAACGAAGCAATTTGGAGAGCGTTCCAGGTACTGTTCATAGCAAGTATTTTCTCATGATGATGACACAAGACGAAAATGGATTTTCTATTCATTGAGCATGGATAGCCTATTTTGTATACCTTTCCTTCTGTTTACTGATGCATTGTCATTTGGTGAGTTAGCACACACAAATCAAGGAAACGCTTTCACCTTTGCCGTATTTTCCAACTGGAAGAAACAGCACAGCATTGTGAAAAACCACAAGATGTTGGCAGCTCATGCAAATGCTAAAGTTGTAGAGGTGCTTTTCTTGCAAGGGAAAACCATGGCTTCACGCTTGGAACAACAAGGAAAAGACGAAGCAGTTCGAAGGAAGGTGGCAGTTACTAGTAACCAGAATATAATGACGCGGGTTGTAGATACAATAATCCTCCTTGGAAAGCAAGGACTTGCATATAGAGGCCATCGAGAATCACTCATCAAGCAAAGTGTTAAACGTTGGAAACATTTTGAAGGTGTTGAAGTTCCTGTCTCCATACGATGTTACTACCCGTGACCATCTTGAAAAAGTGCATGAAGCAACGGCAGAGGTCGGAAAACGTAGAGGAACCAACGCAACCAAAAAGAAGGGTCCTGGCTTGAAACTCACATTTCTTAGTGACAAGACACAAAACAACGTAATTGATGTAATCGGAAAGGAGATCACTTGTGAGATAGTAAAGAGAATACAGAAGTGCAAAGCTTGGGCATTGATAGCTGATACCACGCCTGACGTTAGCCACCATGAACAGCTTAGCATTTGTGTCAGAATAGTTGATCGCGTTGGTTATTGTTCAAAGCATTTGTTATGTTGCCAACGATCACCTGGTGCAACTGCACAACAGCTCTACGACACCATTGTAGATGCATTCAAGTCTCGAGGGGTTATCTTTGATAAAATAGTTGTGCAGACGTATGATGGGGCTTCAAATATGAGTGGTTGTTATAACGGGCTGCAAGCAATCTTTAGAGATGAAATTGGTAGTCATGTAATATACACTCATTGCTATGCTCACACTCTCAACTTGGTCTTATCGAGCTGTGCTGTTACTGCCATTAACGTTATCTCTTTGTTCGGTGCAGAAAATGTACACCATTCAGTAAATCTGAAAAATCCACTCAATGTTTGAAATCTGTTCAGAAGCTCAAAGTCCTTTCGTTGAAACGCATCAATAAAGTCCGTTAGAATTCTTGTGAGTTCAGCCTGAAAGTTTTTCTTTTACGATACGATTGCATTATGAAAGTTCTTGAGGACGTTGTCGCAGAAACTCCATTTTCGAGCACGCAGAGAGGAACTGCCGAGGGACTTATTGAATCTTTCAGAAAAAAGCAAATTATGGCAACAGCTTATCTTTTTCGGATGGTGATAACCATAACTTCAACTGAGCATCCTAACAAAGAGTCTGATGTTGTGCTTGCCATCAAATAATTTACGTGCACATATGGATGCATTGGCTGCAAAAATGAAATCAATTTCAACAACAGATTCGATTGAGCGCAACGGTTTAAACTGGGTGGCCTTTGGCATTCGGGCCCGTGCGCGGGTTAAAACAACGTGTGATGTGAGAAACATAGAAAAAACGTTAGAGAGAGAGAGAGCGAGAATTGTGCATTGTTTTGTAGTTTTGTCTTATTAAATCTTATCAAACATAGCCTTTTGAGAGAGTATTAGTGTAATGGCACGGATTCGGTACACAATAACATAGCAATAGCCTGTCCAACATGTTCCACTATTTTCCTCAGAGCATGCAGAACTTAAAAACCAATGTATGATACTTCTAAGTGACAACCAGTGGTTCCAAGCCTACACCACTGTAAGTATTATTTAGTTGTCCCAGAAAAGATCTATCTCGGTTATATCTTTATGTTTCAGTGTGCAAATATACCTATACAACATGGCCGCCACTATACCATGACCTCATTAGGAAGCCATATACACATAGTATAAATGCTATTATTATATATATTATATGGACGTTATAGATGTTATGCACGTTATAGACGTTGTGGACGTTATAGACGTTATAGATGTTATGGACGTTATAGACGTTATGGAAGTTATAGACTGACGTTATAGACTGACATTATAGACGTTTTAGACATTATAGACGTTATGCACGTTATAGACGTTATGCACGTTATAGACTTTATAGACCTTGTGGACGTTATGCACGTTATAGACGTTATGCACGTTATAGACTTTATAGACGTTGTGGACGTTATGCACGTTATAGACGTTGTGGACGTTATAGACGTTATGGACGTTATAGACGTTATGCATGTTATGCACGTTATGGACATTATAGACGTTATGGACGTTATGGATGTCATAGACGTTATGGACGTTATAGATGTTATGGACGTTATAGATGTTATGGACGTTATGCAAGTTATAGACGTTGTGGACGTTATAGACGTTATGGACGTTATAGACGTTATGGACGTTATGCACGTTATAGACGTTGTGGACGTTATGGACGTTATCGACATTATGGACGTTATGGACATTATAGACCTTATAGACATTATGGACGTTATAGACGTTATAGACATTATGGACGTTATAGACATTATGGACGTTATAGACGTTATGGACGTTATAGATGTTATGCACGTTATAGATGTTTGGTTTATTATGCATGCTTCATGGTGAAAAAGTTAAATGACACGATCGCCATTTCAATCTTCCAGTTTGTTGTACAGATTGTCGTTTAGTAGTCCAGACAGTCCTAATAGAGTCTTTGTGTAGTTACAATCTTCTTGGGAGAGAAATTATTTTATTCGTGAGCGGAATGTGATGTGATGGCGATGATGCACACAGGATGGCTTTTGCTGTTGATGTAAGTACTGTATCGAAAGAAGTTTTTATTTATGACCCAAATTCTTAAATACATTTTCAAGTAGCAGACGTTTCCTATATTAAAAAATTCAACAAACCAGAACTGTGTTAGAAATTTCTCTTGCCTGCAGGGTTAACATATTTCAGTCTCCTTTAGGTATTTGATACAGTTTCATGAAAAATCTCCGCTTGCAATCGAGCTAACAGAAGGAATGAAGAATGTACTTAAAAGAGCCACTGAGGAATATGAAAGAGTTTAAGCTTGATAAGTAAAGGAGCGTAGTAGACCTTGGACCATTCACCCTCCAGCGCCATCATGGAATATGTTTTGGTAATAAGCAAGATACATCTCAAGTCTATATTAGTTACCCTTACATGCTTTGGGACCCGCTCATCCAATATGAGGCAATTTTTAAACGAGATCAGCTAAATTGCCCCTTATGCTTAGCGGATGGTTTCAGCGGCAATCTCCTCAGTCGCCTTGGTGAATGGTATAATGCACGTTTGCCAAGATTGAATCCCAGGGTCTTATTTGATACTAGTACGTGTGTGTTATTGGTGAATTCCGTGTATGGATGTGCACATGGCCACCACATCCCAGCAAGCAAGCCACATATTTTGGACAGATTAATTGCAAAAGGAATACACATCCCATTTTTTTTAACACACAGAAACGGTTTTATGTACAATTTAGTTATTCTTATTGAAGACTTAATTGACTCTGGGTTAAGTTTTGAGCAAGTTGGAAACCTGATCAAGATGCAGTACAAGAGTACATATGACCAATCTTCCAAAAATTTCTGGAGAATGATGCGAGAATGCAAACAATGTGCAGCTAAAGCCGATGGTAATGAAGTTTCGTTCCCAGATTGGAATGATTCAAGTTTTCCATTCCCTGGAAATGATATTCTAATTGACATTTTTTTGAAACGCTTCTTCCGAGATGAACAAATATATGTAAATAGCATGAGCAATTTGAAAGCTGAAATGATTTCATGCGATCACACATTCAAAAGTGCTTGCAACATCGGTTACAAGAGAGCTGAGGATGGGTCTTGGGTTAATCAATACAACTCTATATTTTGTATTCTTAATGAATATGGGCAGATCATCAACTGGCAATTTACAAAGTCTGAAAGTTTTAATGAAGTGAAGGAGATGTTTCTTGATGTCAAGCGACGGACTGCAGAAAAGGGATTAAAATATATTTGTATTGATAATTGCTGCAAGTGGGCTACAATTCTTAAGGGAATCTTTCCAGACACTCAAGTTAAACAAGATTTATTTCATGCCGTTCAGATATTTGTGACAACATTGAAAAAAGAAATCTAGTTCATCGTAACATTGCATCAGACTTCGGAAAAGTTTTTCGTGACCCCCAAGATATAGGTGACGCCCGTAGAATGCCAACTCCATGTAAACAAGTCCTATTATCTAATTTAAATTCGTTTATAGACAAATGGCAGGATAGTGAGAGCAACAGAGTAAAAGTTCTCAATGCTGACTGTATGTCAACACTTTCCAATATTCGTGGGCATATCGAAAATATTGTCTCAGCAACATACCAGCAAGATTTTCAACTTCGGTTAATGAGCGCCTTCATAAAGATATGAAGAAAATACTTTGCAAAAATCTCATGAGTACACAGTTAGCTTACGCAAAGTTTTCGCGATATTTGATTCGGTCATTTCTCTATCTGCCAAGGAGGAGAAAGATGCTTTTGAGGGAACCACAACTTGTTTACGAGCTTCTGATCACGATGTCACTTTTGGAATTAGGTCAAAAGATAGAGAAGATGCCAAAATACCTTCTGTTAGCGACCAATTGTCTAAAATGCGATATACTTTGGATGACTTGACACCTTTGATACTGGATGGTATCGTGAACTCCATACAAATATCAGACGAAGAGGCTCAAAGGAGTGAGGATCATGCATATTCAACGGGGAAAATAAATAACATTTACGTACATATATTGTTATATTCTCTCTCTATATTTAGAGTTGTTTTACTTATGAAGAGTTTATGGTCTTCCAAAGAACAAAATATCATTAAAATCCCGTTTATGTTTTACCACAACTCCAATACAAAAGATAAAGTTTCAATTCTGGAATCGTCTACGTCAATGATAAGTAATGAAAAAACACTAACAAATATTGCTCATTCATTGGGATTTACCATATTACCGATAGCTGGCGATGGAAATTGTTTCTTTGGAGCTGTAGCATTTCAGTTAATCCAAATCCTTGGGTCGGTGTCAACTGTTCTTAACCATATTTCTTCACTCGGAATAACACAAGAACAAAGTGCAGAAGATGTTACTAATGTCTTACGGCAGTTGACAGTTGACGAAATTGTTGGAAATGTGGCAGAATATAGTTCATTTTTTAGAGATATTGATTTGTTATTGGAATGTAAAAGATTTAGAAACGAGGGCGAGTTTGCAGGACAATTGGGAGATGCAGTGCCTTTAGCGATGACTAACGTCCTTCAGATCCCAATTGTTATTTTAACAACAGTCCACAATATGCCCTTCCTGTCTTTAGCTCCTCGTAAGAATGTTCATCACGATGTGGTCATCTATATATGTTATACACAAGAAGGTCCTGGACATTATGATGCACTTGTTGCATCGCAACAATCTTTGCCTAATACAGAGGAAGAAGTATTTAGTGCAACAACTGAAGGTAATTCAAGACTTTCTTATTAGTTTATATGGCATATAGTACCGGAACTAATGTTGATGAGAAAAAAACTTAGCATTCGCTCACTTGCATTAGATTCAACGCATTAACGTTTGACGCCTAGAATTATCCTATGTCATAAAACAGAGCAAAAACTTACAAGAAGGCTCCTAGTAATAAAGTTAAGTCACCTGTGTATCATGAGATATATGCCTTATAGTAGACCGTGAGATACTGGAAAATACACAATGACCTTCACCATATACTCACTAGTGAAAATATATAGGGATGCAGTAGCTTGTTTTTTATATAAAAGCAAAAAATATGGGCATGCCCAATCGTAAGATGTTGTTAAAAAAGATTTTGGGGCTTTGTAATTTTTTGAGATAAGTCTATAGCAGCATGCTTGTGTACACATTAGGGACCTAAATTTCCTAGCGATAAATGGTATTCGAAGTTCGTGAAAAACACTAAAATCGAGCACCTAGTCCAGTTTATGTATATTATGGATTATTGTACATTTTGTAGAACATAGTGGAGATAGTAAAAAACGTGTGACCGGATGTCGCTGTGGTCTTAAGTCACGAAAAGAACAAACGATAAGAATTAAACGAGCGTACAAAGCATCGAAAAGATGCAAATGTATGAAAACAGGAGAATCTTGTTGTAAATTATGCAATTGTGACAGTAAATGTGGAGGGAAAACCTGTGGTGGCAATAGTCGAAAGAATATAAAAGGCAGAAAAGGAAGAAAGCGATCTTTTCATATAATGCAGAAAACAACGAAAAAATGAACATCTAAAGAGTTCATGATGTCTAAAAAAGAACAAATTAATTCTGGTAAATTGAATATACTTGAGTACGTGGTGGTTTGTGCAATTCTATTGGTTTTGGAATCTATTCATGGTGATACTGTAAGTAATACAGACATAAAGAAGTGCTATGACGAAGTAGTAGGCTTTAACGAAGTACAGGCTATATCGCTGCCGCTAACAAGGAGATCCGAAAATACGTTGGTCAATGGGATTAAAATGGCACGTGCCATTAGGAAATATGCACTAAATATAATGGAAGCTTATAGGATGCACTGTTTATCGCGCACCAGCTAGTGAGCATGCGAAATTGCTATCAGAATATACATTGTTGTGTTATAGTTAGCACTTGTAGCTCATTTTGTAATCTAACTCTATAGTATCATATATGTCACGTTAATTTCTTATCCATATTCTCAAATCGCTGGAGATAATTTAATGCAAGATAAGTTAATGCAAGCCAAAACATTTGCCATTTATTTGGAATGTTTAATAAAATGTCAGTGTTTATAAAGGACGTTCAGGTTAGAATATATGGAAAGAAGCTATCATAGTTTTATACTAGTATCCATTTATATCTGTTTGTATATGGCTTGTTAAAATAGCTAAATAACATTTGTTCATTTTATATTTGTAATTATGTAAATTAACGTAATCTTTTCAGGGTTTGTTTTTTTATTTTGGACATCATACATCAACGTGTACGTCGTTCGCAGTAAATGATGCTGCGAAAACCGGCAATTGATGACAAATAGTACTTGCATGCTTACCGTAGACTGCTCGTGTGCCAAATAGTAAAACGAACTAACGAAAAAGTAGATTAACCAATTAAGCTGGTTCGCTGTTGTAGTGCAACTGTGCAAGTTACAATATGGTCGCACGGTAACAGTCACTTATTGAAAGTTCTCGTAGACAAAGAGTCAAATATTTTTACCGCACAAATGACGCATTGTATCAGGACGGGATATTTTTTATTTCAACTGATTCTATAATAACAAATGATATATGGTAACAAGTTAACGGCAATCAAGTGATTGATTCGACGCAACTCTGATTTAAAGATTTTTAATGTAACTTGAAAAGTTAGCTACTATTCATGACCCAACGTTTCGACACTCCTGTCTATAGTGTCTTTACTACAGTTCACCCCTGATGAAGACACTAGGCAGGAGTGTGGAAACGTTATTTTTACTTAATTAAACGTTTAAGACATTTAAAAACATTTAAATTTCTTACATTTAAAAAATCTGTAAAGCAGAGCTGCGTTATCAATGTCGAACAAATGACACCTTCAAACAGCTTTCACTTCAAGTACTGAT